ATGGCTCTTAAAAAGAAGATGGTACTACTTGCCTTATTTCTATACAAAACAAGATGGCAAACCTGTACTGTATATGTTTGAGGCATAAATACTAGATATGTAATTATTCCCATATCTGAGAAACATTAACTTTGACTCAAGAAGGAGGAAATACTCCATGAGTCTGTTTCTGTAATAAAAGAGGAGAGGTCTTACCTGCTTGCTTAGCTACAAATGTGCTACACATGCATACAGTGCGTTGCTTTTATTCTGGTTAGAAACTGGATTTACACTTTAGTCGAGCTGCTGGAAATGTAGTTTGCTGTGGAAAAAGACCTGCAATCCTCTGAAGGAAACCGATGAGTTGATTAGGATGTAGAGGTACTTTTTGTAGTAATTACCAAACAATTATATACATCTGTATGTAAATGTATGTATTTTGTGCTGATTTTGGCCATCCTAGATTGTTATTTTGAAACAATATTAGATGTTTTTTCATGATTTGATGATATAGAGGAAAAGTATATACTATGGTAGGGTGTTATAAATAAGAAATTGTATCTAAAGTAATACCACCTTTTTTTAGAATTCAAAGCGGAGGTGTTGCCACCTGCAGTGCTAGTTTGTCCTAAAGCAATGTTTTCATTTGACTGTGTATTTCACATATAAGCAAATTATTTTCTTAAAAGTTTAAAAACATCATTACAGTTTTTTGCACTATAAAAAGTCAAATGTTTTCTGGAGGCTGCTGCAAATTCAGTCATTGGAACTGGCAATAATCCAAACAAAACTCATGACATCCTGGTGAGACTTTTAAAGTTGACATTGGCACTATCCTTCGTCATCATAATGTCCATTTCCACTGTTATGCCGATGATACCCAGGTCTACATTTCCAGCAAACCCAACACTGCCCTCCCCCCAACCTCTCTCACCAACTGCCTCCAGGTCATCAGGAGCTGGATGAGCAGGAACTTCCTAAAACTCAACGGCAGCAAAACCGAAGCCCTGCTGGTTGGCACCAAAACCACCCTCTCCAAAACCTCATCCTCCCCTGCCTCCAACCTCATCCTTGATGGCTACTCCATCCGCTTCTCTGGCCAAGTTAAGAGCCTTGGTGTCATCCTGGACAGCTCCCTCTCATTTTCACCTCACATAAATACCCGGACGTCCTTCTTCCACATACGCAACATCTCCAGACTCCGCCCATCCCTTTCTCAATCAAACACTGAAGTCCTGGTCAATGCATTTGTCACGTCCCGCATCGACTACTGTAACGCCATCCTCTCAGGCATACCCACCAAGCTCATCAATAAACTACAAATCATACAGAACTCTGCAGCCCGGATCATCACCGGCACCAAGGCCTCAGAACACATCACCCCCATCCTCATCCAACTCCACTGGCTCCCTGTTCAATCCCGTATCAACTTCAAAAACCTACTGCTCACTTACAAAGCCCTACATAACCTGGCCCCCTCCTATCTGGCTGACCTTCAGGAGTACACCCCCTCTCGCTCCCTCCACTCCTTCTCTGCTGGTCTGCTGACCGTCCCCACCCCACGCCTCGTCACCATGGGTGCTCTGGCTTTTAGCTGCACTGCTCCCAGACTCTGGAACTCCCTCCCCCCGCACATCCGACAGTCAGACACAATCACCATATTCAAATCCCAATTAAAAACCCACCTGTTCAAATCTACCTACTCACTGTAGTGCTCCCCATTATATGTTTAATTTGTGTCCACTTGATTGTCTCCTCCATGATTTCCTGTTTGTGTTTTTATCATGTTCTGTTGCCTATTAGCGTATTCTTTTTTTTAACAAATTGTCCGGTGTCCTTGGGTGTCATGAAAGGCGCCTAAAATAAAATGTATTATTATTATTATTATTATTATTGTAGTCATGTCTTTTAATTTAAGCTATGAAAATGCAATAAGGAGTTTTACTTTACATTTAGCCGAATCCACTGAACAACATTCTTATGAGTATTTTACAAGGCCATATAAAGAACACTTGTACATGTTACTGCAGTCCAACACAATAGCCCAGTAATACATGTACATTTTGTTTATAGCATATGCATACATTTCATATATTCAGTTAATATGTTGGATTGTGCAATATGTACATTTTGTAATTTACACCCCTTATGAAGTGTAATCTATTGCACTGCATTGTGATGCATCAGATTTACCCGTGATTTTTGTATCCTTTGTCCTTTAAAACATCACCATATATGAAAAATTCACTTTAATCGTAGTGTAAAAGTGAAGCAGATTGTACCATTACATGTTTTTAAATGTTCTGTTATTATTAATGCACAGTCCTTTTAACTGTTAACAGTTAACTTGCAATCAGAGACATTAAACCAAACACTGAGGTTGTAAAATTAGAATTTTGTATAGTCTCTCATATTCCTTAGAGAAGTGCAAAGACTGATATGTGCTGTTTGTAGTGTATGTGTGTTTGCTCTATTCAGATCTCTTTTTAGGTAAATCTTGACATTTAAAAACAGTGCACACCTTACCAAATAGTATGTTGTCTTGTCTATTATGAGCCCATTTTATCAGGCTTTTTGGTGTTTGAATCAGTTGTTGCTCTGATATGGTTTGGACTATGAAATCGTGCCATGTGTTTATAAATGATAGATACAGGATCTGAAGTGCTTCCGGGCATGACATTCGAGAAGAGAGAACACAAGAGCATCTTCAGCTAAAACGTGTGGTTTCCTAGCTAAAGGTCATCAGCAAGTGGAGGGTGAGATTGAGAAAAGGTCAAAGCCTCTTTGAAAATGCTGGTATCAAAATGGTATATTAAGTGTCATACAGCATCAGTTCCTTGAAATCATGCTTCCTCAAATATTATCATTCGTTTTTTAAGAAAATATAAAAGATTGCGAATGGTGATCGATTGACAGGTCGCGTGATAGGGTACAGATTTTGAGTCCTTTAACAGACCAGTGTTGGAGAATGTCACCTCACTTACTGCTCAGACCACATATGTTAATGTGACATTTAAAACAGACCTGACACAGTTGGATGCCTTAGCCTTCAACTTTCTAAGGACATTGTGTGCCATAGTCCTCTTAGAGATATATACTAAATGTCTGCTGTCACAAGGATGACCTCACATGGTCTATATTTGCATACCATCAAAGATTAATATTCTGTTTTAATTCTAGTATTTGCCTTTCAATGTTCAGACTCAGCTCTAGATGCAATAACTAAATAATCGTGTATAAACTGCAAAAGATTTGCAATGTTCTTTTTCATGTTCAACCTTTTTTTCAAAGGGCAATTTAAATAATTATATTTACAGGTTCTTGGTGGCAAATTGATATTAAAAAAACGATTGAAACACAGTCGATCAGTCTGTCATTGTTGTGTTGGCCATCAAACATTCAATCTATGTACGACACCTTCTCTTGTCTTATTCTATCTGGTAAAGTGCAGTGAGATGGCTTCTAATAGCAGCGTATATCAAGTCTGAGGACACCTGAGTGCCATATCTGGTTTCTGTTATGTGCTTCTGTTGTTGTGGGAATATCTCTCTGCTTGACTTGTGGAGAGAGGTATAGTCTAACAACCTGCTTCAGAACAGAATGATAACATCAAAACGGTTTTGTGATCTTAGACTCTTCAGATTTTACACATCATTGTCCAAACACATTTATGTGAGCAGCTCAACTTTAAAACCTAACTAAGACAAGTGGCACACTTTGGCTGAAACAGTCTGTTTCTGAGATGGGAATGTAATGGTTCCTGACACAATGTGTGATTTCCTCAAAGCCATTTAGATATGGCCCAGGTCTCCTAAGAGCTAAAGACAGGATTCAATAAGTGATGCTTCAGCAGGCCCGAGCACTTGGCGATCCCCGTCACCCTCTGGCTGACTGTAATCATTTGTGATTGCCCCCGTACGCTCTCTGGCCTCCCAACAGCACATGTTTCACTCAGGCTTTTAGATGGGCATCAAAATGCATTACCTCCCAAGCAGTAGATGGGAGCCTGTATGCGTGAAGTCAGGGTGGAAATAAAGACATTAACTTTGCAAACCAAGATTTCCAAAGTGCGGAGCAACATTAGAGCCTGTTATTCAAATATATAAAAGACCATTAATGCACTTAAGTTTATGACATCTCATTATTATAGAATATTTTACCCTGCAGGAGTTAAATGTACTGAACGTCTGAATATTATACATTACATAACATGCGATTATTGCTAGAGGAGTCAAATACGTTTCCTCAGTTTTTCCTGTCCTCTGACTAATTCTCTTTCTCCTTCAATTTAAGTTGAAACAACATGGTAGATTTTTTAGGTTCTCTGCATATAGTGCGATTGCATGGTAAATATGGCCTTAATGACTCTGCAGCGGGGGGCTTGGCTGTTTAATGAGCAGGCTTTCCTGCTATACCACGATCAAATGAGAGCCTAATTTGATTTTCCCTCTTGACCTCTATTCCTCTCAGAAAACAACAAAGCACCAGGGATTATTTTTTTCAAAGGCTTTTGCGGGAGCAGAGACATTCAGGGGTGTGTGGAGAAAAAGAGTGGATAATGATGAGGTTTTCCTCATGAGTAATACAAAATACATTTTACTCTAGCCAACACACACATGCAGCTGTAATGCACACCTATTTTATGCATTTGCATGTGAACACACTAACAGGTTTCAAATATAACATTATTAGCATAAAGTAGTTAGAAAATGCTTAAAGGAATAGGTTAGAAAATTGCTTTGGCTATGGCTTAGACCCCATTTACATTGCGAACGCAAACTAAACTCAAACGAACCGAATACGATATCAAAAAAGTATTCCGTCCACACGAGACTGCTCAAAACCGCTGGAGACGCTGTAGTAGGCCTACATATGCCGGGCCTGTAAATTTCGCTGTACTTCCGCCACAAAATACACCGAAAGCAGCAAAGAAGACCCCCGAACATGGTTGCCATGGTTGCCCTTCTGTTTATGCCCCGGGGTGGATTTAGCAACATGTAGTTCATGTAATTCTCCATTTCCACTTGTTGGTGATGGTTTTGGTATAGGAGCTGTAGATTTTCACATTAACATCTGTAGCATGGTCGAGCTGTAGATTTTGCACTAACATCTGTAGCGTCAGAGGTGGGGAGAGGCGGGGCTGGCTATGGCTTCATCGTTATCAGGAAATGATCATATCGTACACACTGAGCCGGTTGGCCCCCCAGAGCGTTCCGTTTGCAGATCTATCCACCTTGTACCCGTTATCATTTGCGGGGTCCGTTTCTGTTACGGCCTCGTGTGAATGAACGGGCTATACGAAAGAGAAAAGTAGCAGATACAACCGTTTGCGTTCTCGTGTAAACAGCACCTTAGATGAGAATATTGATACCACCTTGATATTTGTCAATTAATCTTGAAGAAACACCCTAAAAGCCATGGTAGCTTAGCTAAGGACAACAACTGGAAATATCAGTCTCACCAAAAAGCATTTTGCCATTTTACATGTTGTTATGGGTGGGACTATTTCTTGGCCATAAAATGTTCATTGGTTGCCTGGTCATTGTTCAAAGCAAAGACATAGCATATAACCATCCCAAAATGGCAAATTCATGATTTTACACTAAGATTTTTGTGCGGGTTAAACAAATGAGGTTTAGAGGTGCTTATAGATGGGTTTGGTTACCCTACAGAGCAAGACTAGCTCTCTCCCCATGGTTTCAATCTTTATGCTAAACAAATCAGCCTGCTGGCCTATACAAACAGACATCATTTAAATGAATCCTTTCACTCTCAGCAAGATAGCAAATAGGTATTTCTTTCCAAAAAGCTGAGATTTGACTTGAATCATAACATGTGTTTTATGTGTGCTCAGTAATATGAAAGTCAAAAAGGGCGCACATGTTTTTTTAAGGAGGTTGTGGGTAGGGATTAAGATCAGTATTAGTGTTTTTTTTTTTTTTTTACAGATCTCCCTTTTGAAACCAGTCCTGTGATTTGATCCCTCAGATGTGGCAGTAGAAGAGACCACTTCTGAAGAAACCCGCAGACCATGGCATCACTACAGAGGAAAACACACAGTGGGTGTCTAGACCAACAGTAACAACCTCATGTGCTGATACTAACACATCCACAGACCACATGTGTTGTCAAACTTATGTCGGAGGCGAGGAAAAGTTCTGTTTTTTAACTCAAGACATGAATCCTCGAACTGAAACCATTATGCTTTTAGTTTGTCTGTCTCTGTTTGTGTAAATGCTGCAATGGTTTTCTTTTGAAGGCAAAACCTTTTCTACTATTCTAGTCTAGTGAGTGAGGTCAAAGCTAGTGGTATTTCTTTCTCTCATCATCTAATTTTTCTTTATATAATTCCATTTTATCAGCAGGTCAACCAGCCCCAAACTTTTTACATAATGTTTTTACTTTTGTGAAATCAGTTTTAATATAATATGATTTAAATAACTTTTGTTGTCCAGAAAAGGTCACCTCAGATTGAAGGCTATTTCCAGCATTGCTGTTTTTTTCATCCCCAGTTGCACACACTCTGGCCTGGTAGTAGTGACGCACTACATTCACAGTCTCCTACTATTGCCTCTGAGTATATCTGGAGCAGTTGGGGGGCTAAGTGCCTCACTCAAGGGCAAATCAAGAATAGTTGTGGAG